CATTTTGATTCTTCCTTACACTTGCAGTTTCTCACAAGAGACAATGTGATACTTGCATGTTTTTCTGGCTTATATCACTTGAGACTGTGGTCTCAGGGTCCATCCATTTAGCTATAAATGTCTAAAGTTTATCCTTTGTGGCTGAGTAGTAGTTCACATGTAGAAAAACACCACATCTTTATTAATCCATTTGTTGATGGGCATTTGGGTTGTTTCCAACATGTATCTATTGCAAACTGTGCTGCTATAAACATAGGTGTACGATTTACACCTATAATCCCAGCACTCCCTGGGAGGCTGAGGCAGGAGAATGCCTGGGAGTTCGAGGCCAGCCTGGGCTACAAAGTGAGCTCAAGGCCAGCCTGAACTGTATAGCAAAACCCTGTGGCAAGAAGACTAAATAAACAAATAAATACATAAACATAGGTGTAGATGCATTGCTGTGGTATGATGCTTTTAATTCTTTTGGGAAAATACCAAGAAGGGGAATAGCTGGGACTTCTAACCCTAGTTTTTGGAGGAATCTCCGCACTGATTGCTGCAGTGGTTGCACCAGTGTGCACCCGCACCGACAGTGGAGAAGGGCTCCTTCTCCCCACGGCCCCTCCAGTGCTGGTCCATTTCCTGGTAACAGCCATTCTTTCTGGATTAAGGTGGCCTCAGCACTGTTTTAATAAGCATCTCTCAAGCAGAGATGCTGAACATTTGTTCATGTGTTCATTTGCCGTTGGTGCTGCTTCATCCAAGACGTGTGTATCTGTCTCAAATGCCCATTTTTGAATCAGGTCTTTAAATTTGGCAGGGGGCGGGTGGTGTCTGCTTTTTGTCTAATTCTTTATATGTTCTAATTTACCCTGAGGAACAACTGACTAAAATACTTCTCCACTTTGTGGGTTGTCTTTTTACTCTGTTGCTGATTTATTTTGCTGTGCAAAAGCTTTTTAATAAAATGAGATCCCAGTTGTTGATTCTTTGTAGTATTTCCTGTGCAGCTGGTGTTTTGTTCATGAAGTTTTGCCTACACCTATGTCTTCAACAGTTGTATCTATTCTCTCTTCCAGCAGATTTAGTGTTTCTGTTGTAATACTTAGATTTTGATCCATGTTGACTTTAGTACATGGTGATAGCCATTGGTCTAGTTTTAGTCTTCAGCATATGGAGAGCCAATTTTTCCAGCACCACTTATTAAAGAGGCTACCTTTCTTCCAGTGAACATGTTTGGCCCCTTTGTCAAAGATAAGGTGGCTGAGTATGTTTGGCTTTGTTTCTGTGTCTCCTAATCTGTTCCATTGATCCACAGGTGTGGTTGGTTTGTTTGTTTTACCAGTACCATGCTGTTTTTATCACAGTAGTTCTGTAGTATAATTTTAGGTTAGGAATTCTGCTGCCTGTTGCCTTGCCTTTGACTAGAATTATTTTTGCTATTCTGGATCTCTTCTGGTTTCAAATAAATTTTGGGAATGTTTTCTCTAGTTCTAAAACAATTTTGGGATTATGGACATTTTCACTCTGTTGGTTCCTCCTGCCCCAGAGCAAGGGATGTTTCCATTTTCTGACAGACTCTTTGATCTTTTGGAGATTACTGTAGTTTTCAGCGTATAGACCTTTTATTTCCTTTGTTAAATTGATTCCTAAGTACTTCTTTTTTATGCTGTTACGAGGGTGTGGTTTCCCTAAGTTCTCTCTTGGTGAATTTGTCATTTGTGTACAGGAATGCTACTGATTTTTGAGTGTTGACTTTTTATCTATCTACATGACTGAATTTGGTTATTTAATCTAGAAGTCTTTTGGTGGTGTTTTGGGGTTCTTCTGTGTTGAATATCACATCATTGGCAATTAATGTTAATTTAACTTCTTCCTTTCCTATCCTTATTCCTTTTATTTCTCTCTCCTGTCTAGTTTCCCTGGCTAATGTTTCCAGAACTATATTGAGTAGAAGTGGTGATAGTGGACTTCCTTTTCTTGTTCCTGATTTTAGGGGGAAAGCTTTCCGTTTTGACTGTTCAGTATGATGTGGGCTTGTTGGTTTGTCATAGATGGCATTTGTCAGATTGAGATAAAGACCGTCTATTTGATGATTTGCTGTGTTCTGTTTCCCAGTATCTTATTAAGGATTTTTGCATCTATGTTCATGAGGGAGGTCAGCGTGTAGTCCTTCTGTTTACTGGTTGGGTCCTTCTCTGGTTGGGTATCAATGTAATACGTGCTTCTAGGAATGACTTCAGGAGTATTGTTTCCTTTTCAGTTTTATTAAGAGTTTGAGGAGTTTAGATCTTCTGTAAATTTCTTGTAGAATTAAGCAGGGAATCCATCAGGACCTGGGCTTTTCTTCGTTGGTAAGTTTTTAATTACATTTTCAATTTCATGGCTGATACTGGGTTATATATAATTTTTGTATCTTCTTGATTCAACTTTGGTAATTCATATGTGTTTAGAGTCTGTCTATTCTGTGTTTTCCATCTTATTAAAGGTTGTCAAAGTAGGTGTTGAGGATCTTCTAGATTTCTGCAGGATCCATTGTGAATTCACCCTTTTTGTCCCTAATTGCATGAATTTGAGTGGTTTCTTTCCTTTTTTGATAAGGTTGGCTGGGGGTTTATCAAGTTAATGTAACCTTTCAA